TGACCGGTCTTGGCTCCACCTCTTTCTGAAGTTTTCTATAGGCAGCCTGTAGTGGGTGGAGCCAACTGGGTCCCTCCCACAGCTGTGTTCTCTGCACAGGCTATATCCAGCACAGTGTGGACGCCACTGCTATATTACAAGGTAATATCTGGACTTGAAAATTTAGATGGTGCACACAAATTGGATTTATATCCCTTGTAGCTATTGACGAATATATATAAAGTGGTTGTAAACCCTCACATATACCCAGTGAAGTGACTGGCCTCAGATGATACACATAGATGAAACTAATCCTTCTACATAAGTTGTACCAATTTATCTAGAGCTGTCTGCCCCTTACAACCATTCAATGAGGAGAGGGGGTGAGTGCAGAATTGACCCGTGATCTCTCAGCTGTGAATGCAGGGGGATGGGGAGCTGAAGTGAAGGGAGATCGGGAGAGCCAATTGAAGGGAAGGGACACACCGCCTTCATGCAGCACACAGGAACAGAGCTAAGGCTGTCAATCACAGGCTGTGCCCTCCCTGGAAAACTGATGCTGATAGCAGAGGAATGAGACAGCAGACAGAAAGGACTGTTAGTGCTCTAGATTGAGACAAGTATAAAATGCAGAGGGATATACTTGTTCATATTTCATGTCTGTGGTTTACAACCACTTTAACTGCTTGCAGACCGCCTCAATTAGAAGTATGTCGGCAAAGTAGCCTCTCTACACTGGATCAGGTTTCTGATACATAATTCAACTCTTCCGGGTAGGGATAATTGTAAACAAGACTAATAGAGAGGGTGAATCTCCCTAAAGTTTGCAGAGGCAGCATTAAACCTGAGAAGGTTTCTAGACCCTCTCCACTTTATCCAAAACTAAAAAATAAATAAATAAGTCCGCTTTAATGAAAATCCATTTATAATCACGAAGAAAACATCATTATGTAATGGATACCCTGTGGTGCTCTACCCAACTGCATTTAATCACTTGCCTACTGGGCACTTTCACCCCCTTCCTGCAATTTTCAGCTTTCAGCACTGTTGCACTTTGAAAGACAATTGTGCGGTCATGCAACACTGTACCCTTATGAAATTTTTAGCATTTTTTTAAAGACAGATAGAGCTTTCTTTTGGTGGTATTTAATCACCTCTGGGTTTTTAATTTTTTTGATAAACCAAAAACAACTGAAAATTTTGAAAAAATAAAGTTTTTTTTTCTTTTCTGTTATAAAATTTTGTAAATGAGTAATTTTTCTCCTTCGCTGATGTGCGCTAATGAGGCTGCAGTGATGGGTACTGATAGGCTGCACTGATGGGCACTGATGAGGAGGCACTGATGGGCATTGACAGGCATCACTGGTGGGCACTGAAAGGCAGTATTCATATGTGACACTGATGGGCACTAATAGGCAGCACTGACTGGCACTGATAGGCGGCACTCATAGACGGTACTGATTGGCAGCACTGATAGGCGGCACTAATAGGTGGCACTGACTGACACTGATAGTTGGCACTGAAAGGCAGCTCAGATGGGCACTGATATGTGGCATTGATGTGCACTGGTAGGCACTGATATGTGGCATTGATGTGCACTGGTGGGCATTGATGGCGGCACTGATTGACAGCACTGACTGGCACTGATAGGTGGCACTGACTGACACTGATAGTTGGCACTGAAAGGCAGCTCAGATGGGCACTGATATGTGGCATTGATGTGCACTGGTGGGCATTGATGGGCAATGACAGGTGGCATTGATGGACAGTGCCCTGATGATCAGTGTAGATGTGCCCTCTGAGGAATGCCGATTACAGCGTGACAGCTCGTGAGGAGAGGAATGCGGATAACTGGCATTTCCTTATTTACATGATTGGACACAGCTGATCACATGACAGAGCCAAAGTGATCAGCTCTTTCCGCTGATCGGGGATCCGTTGTGCCCAGGGACAGAGCGCACCACTGATCGCTGCGTGCCCCCCAGGGGCACGCATTAGCGGTTAGAGTGGGAGGACTTCATATGACGTCCTCCCAGAATGAGAGAACCACCTTGCGTCTGTCATTTCCTTATATGGTGGGCGGGAGGCGGTTAAAGGACAACCATATAAACCCATCCCTCCATCCTTAGCTCTCTAACCTAGTGTCACTAAAAGCATTGTTTTTTTTTACTTTTAGTTTTGAATAGAGTGGAGATTGATTAGAACTCTTGTCAGGATTTACTGCAGCCTGTGCCCCCATTAGGGAGATTCATCTTCTCTATTTGTCCTGTTTGCCATTATCATTGAAAGTGAAAGTAAAAGAAAATCCCAAATTTTGGGTTGACATCAGAACAGTCATAGAGGGGCAATCTTCCAATGGGGACACTAGATCTGGTGACACCCTTGGGATTCCCTCAGTTTGGAGGGTATTTCCTCTCACCTCCTGTTTTGGGTATGGGGCAGGAAGTGAAGGGAATTCTCTGCAATGGGACACAGATTCCCCATTAAAAAAAAACCTGACGGGTTATAATCTTTCATTGCTCTATCCAAAAATGAAAAAAAAATGTTTTGCCTTTAGTGTCACTTCAATGTAGAACTGACATCCACCTACACACCCAGGTGCTAATCACATTTCCATGACAGCGATGTTTATACCCTTGGGTCTTCTCAGCTGATGGATCTACTATCCCATAGGGTATAGTGTAAGCAGGCATATTTGGTGACACAATAATGAGGCCATATCTTTTTAATTGGTACATGCAGAGGTAAGTTCCCCAGTAACATTACTATCTTTTATTGTCCCTCATTTAGATGACATTTCTTTGTTGTAACAACATAAAATGTGGTTTCAGCAAGATGGTGCCACAGCACACTTTGCTGTTGCTGTAAGATATATTTTAAAGTGGTTGTAAAGGCTGAAGGTTTTTTTACATTCATGCACTCTATGCATGAAGGTAAAAAACCTACTGTGTGCAGGAGCTCCCCCAACCCCCTCAATACTTACCTGAGCCTCATCGTGATCCATCGATGTGAATGTCAGCCTCGGCTGCCTTTGGTCTCTGCCTTCTCATTGGCTGAGACAGAAAGCGGGAGCCATTGGCTCCTGCTGCTGTCAATCAAAGCCATTCAACCAATGAGGAGAGGGGGTGGAGCTAAGCCACAGCTCTGTGTGTGAATGGACACACGGAGCAGAGGGTGCCCCATAGCAAGTTGCATGCTGTGGGGGCACCCGACAGACAGGAGGAGCCAGGAGAGCCTGCAGGGGACCCGAGAAGCGCAAGATCCAGGCTGCTCTGTGCAACACCACTGCACACAGTAGGTAAGTATAGACATGTTTGTTATTTTACAAAAGAAAAATAAAATAATCTTTAGAATTGCTTTAAGGGTCCATGCACACTTGTCTTTAAAAAACGCCAGTGCTTTTTTTTTCTTGCCAGAAAACCCCTCTCAAAAACACAAACCAGAACGTTGGTTTTTTTTTTTTCTACCTCTAAACGTCCTAATGTGCATGGACACCTAGCATAATATTGATGTGCTTCTGCAGGCAAAAGAAAAACTCCTGTAGAAGCAGATTTTTCCCAAGTTGTCCTGCAGGACGGTAAGCTTTATTGTGACCATCCTGGAGGATTCCTGGAAAAGGAGTTATCAGGTAATAAGGCTGTCCATATACTATACAATTTTCTGTCCAATTTCCTTTAGATTTACTATGTAGTGCAAGGGCATGCCTAATTGGATACAATTGAAAGTGTTGTTAGTTTGATCTCCATATTATATGGTTTTTGGTAAATCTAAAGCAAAATTCTCAAGAAAATGGTGTAATGTATGGCCTGCCTAAAGCCGACCATACATGGATCGAATTCCGAAGGAATTTTCTTTCGAAAATCTTTTCTAAGAATCTTTTCGTTCCAATTTCACACCATTAGTGGGTCACAGAAATGGCCAATTTTCATGTGACCATCGAGTTTTAGTGAGCGGGCATGTTAAAAATTTTCTGAAAACAAATGAATTTCGAATCAATGAGAATCATGCGAGAAATATAAACGAACAAGAAGTTAGCATGAGCTGCGACCTGAAAAGAAAAGAATATTCTTGGCCACGAAAATTCTTTTCTGCAGCAACATGAGGTAACATTTGAAGGCTTGGCTGAATTTTCAAAATCAACAATGGCACCATCGGATTACAAAACGCACAAAATTTATGATTTTCTAAAGAAAATTTGTTCGGAATTGGACCCATGTATGGCCTGAATTACTCCTTTTTTTTAAGACCGGTGTGCATGGACCCTAATCGGATTTTTCCTAACAGGTGGATCAAAAGGCAAGGTCTAGTCAAATGACCTCTAGGTCCCCAGACCACTCAACATTTTTCTTTGGTGTCCTCCGAAGTATTCTATCAAATTCAGGCCAGAACAATCGTTGCACTAAAGGAGAAAATTATCTCTGCTACATTAGGAAATGTTCACCATTCTTATATTCAGGAAAAATCGCCAGAGCTGTCAGTGTGAGCTTTTACTGTAAAAAAGCTTTGACCTAAATTTTTGCCAATGAATCAATACTTTTTGGGCACTCTGTATAATGTAAAAACTCTCTAGGAGTCGATTTACTGAAACTGAAGAACGCAGAATCTGGTGCAGCTGTGCATGGTAGCCAATCAGCTTCTAACTTCAATTTGTTCAATTAAGCTTTGACAAAAAAAAATATAGTTACATAGTCTGGCTGAAAAAAGACAAAAGTCCATCCAGTTCAACCATAGAAAAAAAAAAAAGTTATAATCCTATACCCACAGTTGATCTAGAGGAAGGCAAAAAACAACCCAGCAAAGCATGATCTAATTTGCTCCTGCAGGGGAAAAAATTCCTTCCTCATCCCCCGAGAGGCCATCGGATATTCCCTGGATCAACTTTACCTATAAATGTAGCTGATTGGTTATTATGCACAGCTGCACCAGAATCTGTGCTCGAGTTTTAGTAAATCCCCTCAACTGTCTACTCATCATACTGCCTAAATGTATATAAACAATGTCTCTATCGTTTCAGTCCGGGGATGTCTCACACAGAGGACCGGCGCTACGTGGAGCTGTGTCAGGACTCCGTTCGTCTGAGTGCAGAAAGCGTGGGACTAGAGATCACTGATGAGGTTGCAGCATTACTGGCAGAAGATGTATGTTACAGGCTGCGGGAAATCACTCAGGTATATTTAGAGCTCAGTTGTCAGACATGGCATCCTATGAATGGCAGCTAGACAGCAATGGCAACTCCAAGCTTTAGAAACATAAGAGAGAGTTTTATTTCTTATTGCGAAAAACTGTGAATGTTGGAATATTCAATGGGGGTTATTTACTAAAATTGGATTGTGCAAAATGTGGCCCAGCTCTACATAGAAACCAATCAGCTTCTGGGTTTTTGTCAACACCTAAGCCCTGGTTCACATATATGCGGCCATGGGGGGACGTGTTTTGCGCGTGCACGAGAGCCCATTCATTTGAATGGACTCCCGTGCCCCATGACATACAGGGAAGAAGTCCATACACTTCTTCTGAAAACACAACCCACACGGGAACCTCGGTTCCCAGTACGGTTGCGTTTTCCAGTGCGGGCTACGTGCCATTAGAACTAATGGCACCCGCCCGCGGGTCCGCATTCCTCTGTGCGGGTGATGCGGCTGCATGGATTTTCGTGCGGATCTGGAGCGGCACCACCTGCATAGATTTGAACCAGGGCTAATTGAACAAGCTGCAGTTAGAAGCTGATTGGCTACCATGCACAGCTGCACCAAATTCTGGGTGCATCAGGTTTAATACATTTCTCCCCATTGTATTGTTTATAACAGGGGTCTCCAAGCTTTCAAAACAAAGGGCCAGTTTACTGTCCTTCAAACTTTAGGGGGGCTGGACTGTGGCCAGTGGGAGTAGAAAATGTCCTAGCATTGGAGGGAATAAACAATGATAAAAGGGCCAATAACATCATTGGTGTCAGTGGTAGGAATAGGGCCTCATTATTAGTAACAGTGGGAGAATTTGTTTCCCATCTCTCGTGTCAGTAGAAGAAATAGTGTGCCACCATTGGTGTCAGTGGGAGGAATATTGCTCCAAGGGCCAGAAAAAGGCAAGCAGAGGGCCACATCCAGTCAGTGGGCCATATTTTGTAGACCCCTGGTATTTAACATTGATACGCATGTATTTTGATATTAATTGTGGTTCCTAATACAATTACTAGTCTAAGTGGTGTTTTAATAAGTAGTTTTCCAGTTGTAGAAATGTCTGGTGATTTAGTTTGCTCTGCATTTTTGTAGATAATGTTGGTCCTCCTGTTTTGTCTCTCAGTTTAGCGCTCAGTCGCTCAGGCACTGTAGACGTAGAAGACTGACTGTAGAGGACTTCAACCGTGCTCTTCGCTGGAGCAATGTTGAGGTATGGTAACTCTATGACTTTCTAAGTAAAGACTCTTTCATACTTGTGTGATACAGATCTGTCAGTCAGCTGAACTGTACCTCATATCACAGTTCTGTCTCACCTGCATTCCTCAATTATGAGCAGCGTTATTGCCTCTTATGTGCCCTAAACAAGTTTTTGATAAGCTTCAGGTTGCTGTATGGTGGTGCTAGTAGCTTTTTGTGAAGTATTTAGCTCTGACAACAAGCTCAAATTAAAGTGATTCCCCAAACGTCCTTTACTTCTCACTTACCACTACCAGTTAACCTAAAATTAACACATAATCATTAACTTTACCCTATTCAAGCAAATGGAAATCCTAAATGTGTTATGAACAATTGCAATTTGTTTTTTTTTCCTTTTAATTACAATTCTGTCTTTCCCCTTTTTCATTCTTTTTTTAATCTCAGAGCTGCTGATCTCCTGCAGCCTCTTTGCAGTCACTTCCCAACTGCATCCATGTTCTTTAGCAATAGCTGCATTGCTATTCTCAGGGTGGGATTTCTGGTGGTGACAACAGTGAACCATACCTGTGTAATGTGACAGCCTCATGCAGTCTCCATTCTTGGCCTGTGTGACAACACATGAACACAGTTGGGAGGTGACAACACAGGAACACAGTTGGGAGACAGGGAGAGAGAGCATTGTTACCCACACAGGATGTACATAAAAAAGGACCATCATGGCAGGATCACTAAGTGTACTGTAATTTTCATGAAAGCTGCAGGCTTAAAAATATAAAAAAGTATCATTTATGAATGACATTACCATTGCAAACCTTTAATGCAATTTGAATTATTGGATTTACACATAATTTAACTTTAACCATAATATACACTATATTGCTAAAAGCATTGGGACGCCTTCCTTTACATGAAGATAAACTTTAAATGGCATCCCAGTCTTAGTCCGTAGGGTTCAATATTGAGTTGGTCCACCCTTTGCAGTTATAACAGCTTCAACTCTTCTGGGAAGGCTGTCCACAAGGTTTAGGTTCCAGAAGCGCATTTGTGAGGTCAGGCACTGATGTCGGACGAGAAGGCCTGGCCCGCTGTCTCTGCTCTAATTCTTTCTAAAGGTGTTCTATCGGGTTGAGGTCAGGACTCTATGCAGGCCAGTCAAGTTTTTCCACCCCAAATTCACTCATCCATGTCTTTATGGACCTTGCTTTGTGCACTGGTGTGCAGTCATGTTGGAACAGGAAGGGGCCATCCCCAAACTATTACCACAATGTTGGGTGCATGAAATTGTCCAAAATGTCTTGGTATGCTGACGCCTTAAGAGTTCCTTTACTGGAACTAAGGGGCCAAGCCCAACCCCTGAAAATCAACCCCCCACCATCCCCCCTCCACCAAATTTACACTTGGTACAATGCAGTCAGGAAAGTACCGTTATCCTGCCAACCACCAATCTCAGACACGTCCATCGGATTGCCAGACAGAGAAGTGTGATTCATCACTCCACAGAACTTGTCTCTACTGCTCTAGAGTCCAGTGGCGATGTGCTTTGCACCACGGCATCCGATGCTTTGCATTGCACTTGGTGATGTAAGACTTGGATGCAGCTGCTTGGCCATGGAAACCCATTCCATGAAGCTCTCTACGCAATGGTGTGCTAATCTGAAGGCCACACTAAGTTTGGAGGTCTTTAGCTATTGACTCTGCAGACAGTTGGCAACTTCTGCACACTGTGTGCTTCAGCATGCGCTGACCTCGGTCTGTCATTTTGCGTAGCCTACCACTTCGTGGCTGAGTAGCTGTTGTCCCAGTTGCTTCCACTTTGTTATAATACCACTAACAATTGACTGTGGAATATTTAGTAGCAAGGAAATGTCACGGATGGACATATTGCACAGGTGGCAACCTATCACGGTACCACGCTTGGAGTCACTGAGCTCTTGAGAGTGACCCATTATTTAACAAATATTTGTAGAAGCCTATCGCCTATTTCAGTCTGAGCTGGGCTCTTATAGCGATAGCACTAACAGTAGTACCACACCAGGACTCCGCCAAAGCAGACTATAACAGTATTACCTATTCTGCCAAGACCCCCACAGACACACACCATGTCCAATGGCTCTGGCCCTCATTCCCATTAACAAACATGGGGAAGTGTCCCTACCTCCCGCAGACTGCAGTTTTTTTTTTTTACTACATTACTTTGGAAACACTAGTTCACACACACTCTACTACTTACAGTTAACTGTTGTATTGTAATACCAAGCTACCAAATGATGGACCCTCTGCTTTTACTAGGGCTTACAGTTAGGTACCATGTGGGATCCCAATAAAATAAATATACATACTCACCTAGATGGCAGCAGCAGTGATCCAAGCTGCTGCTGTCCCGTCGGCTCTACACTGAGAACTGATCGTTCAAAGGCCACTGATTACTCATTTCTTGAGTCTGCTCTGAGCACAGTGACTGTCAGTCAGAGCTCTTGTGCTGTGTCCCTCCTACACTCACTGGAGTGCTGAACTGTGGAGGGGGTGGCAGCACTGAGAGGCTGAGCCAGCTGCCAGTCAGGCATCTGGGCGGATCACGACATTATTGTCGGGCTCCCTGCAGAGCCTGGACCAGCTCTGTGACATCAAACTACCAACGGGCTTTAGCCTGCTGTTGGATGAATCTTGGTCACAGGGGTGCAGAACTAAGTACACTCCTGTGATCCATAGGAGAAATAAGAGCAAACAGGAGGCACACACCCCTAGTGCATTATCCGAGGTTTATTATAGTATAAAAAGGGATCAAAAAATACTCACAAACATAGCATACATGTTCAGCTTAGTAGAACAGTGGAGATGGCCATAACAACGGGCGGGGTGTCCGACTGTCAGTGTGTTTGGCTAGCTGGCGTGTTTCAGGGACGAGTCAGCTAGCCGACCACACTGACAGTCGGACACCCTGCCATTGTTATGGCCATCTCCACCGTTCTACTAAGTTGTACATTTATGCTATGTTTGTGTATTTATTCATCCCTTTTTATACTATAATAAACCTTGGATAATGCACTAGGGGTGTGCGCCTCCTCTTTGCTCTTTTTTCAGTTGTTCATTTCCCTATCTGAGGAGGGCAGCATCTCTGAAAGGCTATCCATAGGCGAATTTGGTCCTGGTTCCCTTGTCTTTCCTGTGGCATTTGATCCCTGGAGCGCTGGAGATTTTATTCAGTCATAGGAGAAATAAAACCTAAAGAACTTTAGCCATACTTCTCATTTAAATAACTATATGTTGTACAGCTAAAAAGAACACTGAGGAAAAATTGTGAATGCAATAAATCCGATGACTTGAATGTCACATATAAATTATACTTCATATAAACACAAGTTTTCTTGTGCAATCATAAAGATTCTAAATGTTTCAGTCCCCTCTGAGTTATGTAAATGTGTTGATTGTATTGTGATCCTTACCGGACATTCTACAGCAGGGATGTGCAGATCATATCGCCTGACGCTGGGACATGCAGCTCCTGGCGCCGGGCAGGTAGTTTTCTTTGACATTTAGTGCGGGCAAGCTGATGATCAGCTTCGGGGAGTCATGCACTTTACTACAGGGGATATGAGCAGCTCTAGTCTGATTAATTGTCAGCTCTGAAGCTGAGTGTGATCATGATCGATGTGTTTCCCCCTTCCACTCCTCTGCCTCTCCCCCCCTCCCCTTCTTTCCCCAGTTTGCAATGCTCAGCATGACTGCTCGGCTCCCCAAGACTCCGTGTCTGCTGCATGTAAAGCCTTGCGAGAACCGTCTGTCCTCCTTCCCGCCCCCTCCTCCTACTAGTTAGTGTCCCAGGACTGAGACTTCAGCACACTTTGAACAGTCTCTGAGAAGGTGGTTGCTTCTAGGATTTCTCTTTACACAAGATATGTAATCCTAGGTCAATTATTCAGTCTGATAATTGGAGCTTTATCACTCTCCAGACCCACAGACAGCACTAAGAAGACTGCATCAATCTAAACCAGCAAATAAATCAAATTCTCCTCCAACAAGTTGTTGTGGTGGATCTGAGTGGAAATTGGAATATTTTCACTGGTTCTAGAGATGAGGAGTGACTTTTAATAAAATCATAGAAAAAGATATGTAATTCTATGAGCAATTTTAGAGATCAGCCTTCCCTGTCCCCCAGGAGAGGCAGGCAGCTTCACTCAGCAGACCTAGCCCACTACACCTAACCTCTTCACTGCTACATAGCACATACAGTAGCATAAAGATCTGTATTCTGTGGAAATTTTTATTCCCTGCAGCAATTACTCATGCAACAGAATCAGAGAGAACAAGCTGAGCACCGAGCTGTCACTTAACTCCTTACATGGCAGACTACAACACAGGCACTTCAATGGTCAATATTGAAAAGCTCAAGCAGTGTTACAGCCAAGCAAGGACACAGGCACAGGTCATCATTATTAACCATGCCAATCCCCGAGGATACAGGATTTCAGAGTGGCTGTAGCACCCCTTGCCTGTGCTGTAGTCCAGCATGTTAGGAGTTAAGTGACTTCAGGTACCTCTGCAGCTTTAGCTCAGCGCTCAGCTTGTGTTCCCTGATTCTGGCGCATGTGCTGATGCTGCAGGGGACACAGATCTTCACAGGATGTACATCTTCATGCATGCTACACTGGAGTATTATTTGGCTGCTCAGCATACACTTTTACTGAGCACCCAAGTGCTTCCTTGTGCGAGGATAACCTGAAGAAATAAAGTGGGGTTTTTTTCTCATTGGGGCCGGCGCCTCATTTAAGCTGGCCATACACATGTAGATTTTTGGACGAGAATATTCGTACGAAAAGTCCTACGAAAATTTTTTGAACATTCAGTGAATGGATGAATGTCGTTCGAAAGTTGTCTTTTGCTTTTAACATTCAAGTTTAAAATGAATGTAATTTCTGAACAATAACCACATACACTGGCCGAAAATTTGTTTGATTGAGAAAAGTTTTCCTTCCTGCTCCTTCGAATTTTCCCATCACTGCGGTCAAAAACAAACATCGAATTGACCCCACTAACGATTAGAAAATCAAACGAATATTCTTGAAACGAAAATTCTTGAACGAAAATCTCTATGTATGGGCAGCTTTACTCACCCAGCAGATGTGCTTCTGCTGAGCGTTAAGAGAGCCCGAAACTCCCCTTTCCTGACGAGCACACAATCGGTGCGCATTGCACTGCAATGTCTATCCCCTCCCTGCTAGTCTCCGGGTGTGGTGCTGCAGACAGGCAGGGAGGTGTTAAAATATCTATATATTTTTAATCAGGACAAGTGAAATGTCATGAAGGACATGTAGATTGGGACCCCGATTTAGTTTCTTGGACAATTAGTTTTTTAAGAAATTTCTACACCCCTGTACAGGTCAACATAATTGGTCCAGGAATCATGTGTCAGTTATGCTCCATTGTAATGAGAACTGACAAAGTTGATGATAACTTAAGCAGGCCATAGACGAGTCGAAAACCGAATAAAAATTCTTAGTTATTTTTCGCATCATTAGTGTGCTAGCTGTGACATGTGATTTTCATGACAATCGAAAGTGCCTGATCAAACAAGCTGGATCTTGTTTTGAAAAACGAAACAAATGATGGCAAAATCATATGCGCCATTTTGTTTTTCAATCGACAGAATGTTCGGTTTTTTACTTGTTTATGGCCTGCCTTAGAAGAATAAAGCTGAATACTTAATATTTCTTTCAGCCTGTGTATGGCCATGGATCGCCTGATCCAATTTCATTTCGAAGTGTCAGAGATGGTGATTGTCATTGCTCAGAGGACCGTGATATCAATCTAGTGGAACTGGCCTTGGCCACAAACATTCCCAAAGGGACAGCTGAGACTACAGTGAGGGGTACGAAATTTCTATTTATTGAGTTACTAAGGGGGGATTATTTATTTTACTTAATATTCTTTGTGCAAATCTTCCTTTTTTCCTTTCAGTCCATGTCTCTTACCTGGATGGAAAAGGAAACCTGGAGCCTCAGGGTACAGGTAAGTGTTTTTTTTTTTTATTGCCTCGCACATGCCATCTATATTTCTGTATGCTAATTTATATTTTGTCCCTCCAGTTCCTGCTGCAGTCTCTTTACTGACAGATGACCTACTAAAATATTACCAGCGTGTGACAAGAGCAGTGCTGGGGGATGATTTACATCTCATGAAGGTGAGGAAAACTGGAAAAAAAGACGTGTGCAGAGTTTTTAGTTTGCATTAGACAATCTCAGATGAATCACTTAATTTGCTTATTCTAAAAGTGACCTTTAATAGTATTTTGGTTTATCTCTGTCATCAGAGTGCAAATCTTTGCAGCTATGCTTCTGCAGCCACTCATAAAATTTCCAAGGATTCACATTTTTTATATTAAGTGTGTGTGTGTTCAGGTAAATATAATATGTTAATAAATGTTAATATTAATAATATGTTATAATATGTTAATAAATATAATAAGTTAATACTTTGTATTCCTATCATTATCTGCTTTACTGAAGGAACTGTTCACAGTCCTCAAAACCTCACTCTGAAATTTACACCTAGCTGATTAAATCCCACAATGACTTCTCTCCCCTACTCCCTGCTCATTTTAGATGGCTTCTGTATGTAGACACAGTCCAAAGCCAACCAAGCGGGCTGAATGAAAACAGAAATGGAGAAATCGTTGTACTAAACAAACTATGTTAGTGCAGCGATCTCTCCTACTGTGCCTTTGTATTCCCCCCTTGCACCGCCATAACACACTAATCAGCCCTCGCATTGGCTGTGAGCGTTGATTGGATGCTAGTTTTCAAGCAAGTCTTTGACAAAAGCTGGTCCTTACACTGACTTCTGTTGGAAAAATAGCTGTACACATGGTCCAAATGTTGGTTGGCTCCTGCTAAACTGACAATATTCAGACCATGTTTACTCAGTTTAAAGTGGTTCTAAAGGCAGAAGGTTTTTTTACCTTTAATGCATTCTATGCATTAAAGTAAAAAATCTTCTGGGTGTAGTTCCCCCCTTCAGCCCTCCCTTATACTTACCAGAGCCCTATCTCGATCCAGTGATATGCATGAGAGCTGCGGCTCTCCTGGGTCACGCTCTCCTCATTGGCTCACACAGTAGTGGGAACCATTGGGTCCTGCTGTTGTCACAGCCATTGAGCCAATGAAGAAAGTGGGGGAGTGCGAAGCATGTTATGTGAATGAATGAACAATGTCCATTCACACATTTAAGAGGCTTGGGGGCACTTGGCTGGGGGGAGGAGCCAAGACCACTGGTGGGGACCCAAAACAGAGGATCAGGCTGATGGGTGCAAAACCATTGCACAAAGCAGGTAAGTATAACAGAATCTCTTTTAGAGAAGTTGAAGCTGTACAGTACTGAATGCAGTAAATCTGGGAAACCAGCTCATTGCTTTAAATTTTCAAACTCTTATGTTTCAACTGCAACCAAGTAATAAAATCATGATGATATCTCCAGCGCTCAGAGACCTAGATCCGAAACAGGTGGATACATCGACCTCCGTAAGACACATCCACCAATAGATCAAAGGTTGTGCAGCCCTTTGGTAAGGCTGGGGAAGCCTGAACAACATTGCAAATAAGAACAAAAGAAAGCACACCAACCTTGCGCATTACCTCAGCAATAAGATTTTATTAAAATACGATGTGTACTCACAAACGTAGCTATATAAAAGCATATAGTATCCAAGAGTAGATCACAGGAAATCAAGTAGCGTGCGAATCCCACTGACAGGGAGACTCTTGTAAAAGGCTGACGCGTTTCGAAAGGGGGACCCTTCTTCTTCAGAGCCAACAAGATAGAGATTGCCCCCTTCTATCTATATATATATATATATATATATATATATATATATATATATATATATATATATGCCATTTAAGTGAGACATTTGTATAGACACTCCCATATGGGCTGGATGCGTCATAACAAGGGGGGCAGGGTATTGGTGTCAAGGTAAACATACTTAGATGTAACCGATTGGGACCCAGGTTACAATCACAAATAAGATTAAAAATTTGATAAACAAGTAAATGTATGATAATAATAATATATAATAGTGAAAGTCTATACAAAATAGAGATTCCAATTAGGATTAAAAATAAGATCCGATGCAACCCATCTATACATGCAGTAATACACGTGACAGAAATCAATCATTGCAGCACATACGAATATTTTAGGAACAACCATTGTAGCACATAAATTGTGCGCTCCACCAACACTGGGAGCTGTCTATGTGTCTTTCCCCACTTAAGTAATTTATCTCTCACTGATCGGCACTCTTCCTTTGGATTTGCCTATCCTGATCCACCTACACCAAAGGAGCACACACACGAAAACGCTTCCCAAAAATTCTTTAAATGGCTGTTCAAAATATATTTATGTGCTGCAATGGTTGATCTTAAAACATTCTTGTATACTGTAATGGTTGATCTCAGAATATCCTTATGTGCTGCTATTGTGTATCTTAAAACATTTTATGTGCTGCAATGGTTGTTCTTAAAATATTCATATGTGCTGCAATGATTGATTTGTCACCTGTATTACTGCATGTATGGGTGGGTGCAATCTGATTTTAATCCTAATCTTAATCTCTATTTTGTATAGACTTTCACTGTTTATATATTTTAAATATCATTATAATTTTTACTTATTTATCTATTTTTTAATCTAAATGTGTTTGTAACCTGAATCCCAATCTAAGTATGTTTACCTTGACATTAATATCCCGCCACCCTTGTTATGACACATCTAGCCCATATGAGAGTGTCTATACAAATGTCTCACTTAAATGTCATATATATATATATATATATATATATATATATATATATATATATATATATACACGCTTTTTATATTGCTACGTTTGTGAGTACACATTTTAATAAAATCTTATTGTTGAGGTAATGCGCAAGGTTGGTGTGCTTTCTTTTGTTCTTATTTGCAGTTTCAACTGCAACCTATTATACCTATATTGTCATACAGGTTTTATATAGTGCCAACAGTTTGCGCAGCGCTTTACAACATGAGAATGTTTTCTGTATTTCACAATTTCCATTGTTTTTGTCTATTTTGTATTGTAAATTGATATGACAGTCCTTTTCTCTGCAGCCTGAGCTGTACTGTAGAAGAATGGATAGACTCCTAATAATTCATTGAATGAAACCTAGTACACAGTGTTTACTATGTTTCATTCACAAACTGACACATAGTAAACACAGTTTTCTATGTGTCAGTGATTAATGAATACAGAAACAATCTGTACTGAACGCTGTCTGTATTCTTTCAGCAAAGGAAGGGGGCTGGTGACAACGTGTACCAGCGCCCCCCCCCTCACTGAGGAAGCCACCCCGTCCCATGCTGGCAGCGATCTGTCAGCGGCTGCAGCCGTCGGAAGGGAGAGCCGGCTAGCAGCTGCAGAGAGGGGGCGCCCAGAGATCAGGGAGGTGGGAAGCACGAACTGGGGTGGGGGGTCGGAGCAATTCTATTCTAGCAAGTAGATCCCTCTGTGACTGCCCTGTAGCACCAAAAGCCAGCAGGAGAGGCATAAGAATGACCTGAAACCCAGGGTGCTGCACGTTTCGCGTCACCTTTTTACTGTACCTGTCAAACGTTTAATGCTTCTTCAATAAAGATACCAAGGAGTGCAGCAATATTCCAGGTTTGTGCATGTTACTGTGGGTATACAATTCTGTGTGAGGTTTTCTGTTTTTATATTCTTTTTTTCTGTTGGTTGAGCTAGATAGACTTGTGTCCCTTTTTTTTTTTTTTTTTTTTTTTTTTTTTACCCGACAACTATAACTGTGAGCTGCATTTTGATTGCATTGAAAGTGGCCATAATCCAGACTATTGTTACCAAATATGCAGGCATGTCTGTGCTCTGCTACTATAATTTATTCTATTTTTGTCCCTCATTAACATCCAGGTGGCTCTTCAGGATTTACAGACTAACCCAAAGATTGCAGCCCTGTTACCTTATTTTGTATATGTTGTGAGTGGGGTAAGTATATTGCAATTCACATTTGACAGTGTGCCAGTAAATAAAGGGGATGGACAAAACAACAAATGCCTACTGATATATTATTATCCAGGACCTAATAAGAAGTAGGAGCACATTTTGCCATCTAAAAAGCATGAATTTAATGCTATTCGGGACCTAATAGGGAGTAGAAACACTTTTTTTTTTTTTTTTTACTCCAAAAAGCATCTGTTTAAATGCTGTGATAGAGGTTCTGAACTATTCGTACTTCATTCAAGAAAGTATGTCTTCAGTTCCAGATGAAGGCTGAATATTATTGTACATTTTGCTTTTTGGAAACACTTATATAGATCATTTAATAATTAGATCTGATGATTGGAACAAAGTGAATTCTGCAGTTATGGTTGTTACTTCAAAGTAAAACCTCTTCTTCTTCTTCTTCTTCTTTTTCTTCATGAGGTTTTCTGTTACCTTGTTAACCCACTTAATATTACAAGTCCGCAAGGACATCAGGGCTATAACTGGGACGGTTTACTTAACATTCAACCCAGTAATCATTGCTATTGCCATCCATTTATGTATCTTTAGAAATTTTATGCAAAACTCTAAACACCAACATTGTACAGTATGAGAAGATCAACTTACTGAAGTTTTGGGTCCTTGAGTCCTAAGCCAACACAGAACAAGTGGCTCAAGTTTCATAGGTCTGATCCCAGTAGAAAATATAGAAGGCAACATGTTCATTCAAAACTAAAAAAAATATATGCCTGATTAATTTAGACTGAATGATGTTTGGCCCCTGAATCATTCATAACACACTGCTGTGCATTGATGGCAATCGGGGAATATTTTAGATTTTGGATGGACATTTTTTATTTGATTAACCTTTGCTAGATGACCAGAACCAACTGTGTAGGACTAACAAGACTTAAGAAATGTACTAGTTAAAGCAGTATTAAACCCCAAAACAAACGTAATATATTGTAGCTTACCAATTATTAGATGTGGTGGCTCCATTTGTTTTCTTTTTTCACTTGGAGATTTGGCCAGTAACCTATCTCCAGTATTAGAGTGCCTGCAGTCTGGATGAAGGAGCATAGGGGCACCTTTGGATAGCATTATTAATCTGGAGGGGAGGGGAGTGCTACTAGATGTACTTGTAGATTTAGACTAACAAATTGAAGCCAAATATCAGCTCACACTTTATAAGCAGTTACAGAAACTGTTTTTTTTTTTTTTTCCTTTTGGGATAAAAATAAAGGTGTTGTTAGTGGTAAATGGTTTGTCTTGTCCCTCTAACTACTACATCTGAAAAAGAACCTGCTCTTTTGTAAAACAACAAAATTACTAGCCAGATCACTATGTGAAAATAAGGGAAAGAAACCCTAAGGATTGATAAGCTGCAATAAAATAAATGTTTGCTTTTGGGTTTTATACCACTTTAAATGTTGATGTTATTGATACCCAACGTTGTTTTCAATTCTTTTTTTTGTTTTTTAGGTTAAGTCTGTTAGTCATGATCTTGAACAGCTGAGCCGTCTGTTGCAGTTGGTGAGGTCTCTTTTGTGGAACCCCTATCTTTATTTGGGTAGCTATGGATACAGTCTGATGCAGAGTGTTTTGTACTGTGTGACTGAGCCCCTAGCTGCCTCTATAAACCCACTTAATGACCACTGGACTTTGCGAGACTATGGCGCAGGATTGCTGAGTTGTATTTGGTAAGCCCACTAATTTCTATACATACATGGCTATCCTTTTATTCACATTTTACTTTTGCAGTGTGTTCCTGAAAACTTTTAAAGAAATATTCAGTCGATTACCAAAGTTATAAAAGCAAACTAATATTAGTGTTGTAATGACCCTGATTTCTGCCCAAATTGGAAATAAATCCCATCCACCCTGCTACCAAGGCCTACTTCAACCATTCCTCAGTCTGTTGAGCCCCAATGGCCAATAGAGCCTGTCTTACTGGATTATTAAATGGCTGAGTGGGGTATTGCCGCAGTTTAGGCAGAAACGAGGAGTCTACATAGAGAATGGTCCTGGGATCGAGGCGCTACCTAGGCCTGAGAAAACTGGTTGAGGTAACAAAACACTGGTAGCTTTGTTCAGCTACTTATACTCGAAATTAATATAGAAATGAACTTTGTGTGCTTAACAAAACCTCCACGTGAGTAGCAATTTCTTGCTTTCTGCACAGTACATTCACTACTACACTGATCAGCCTTAACATTGCGACCACTGACAGGTAAAGTGAATAACATTGATTATCTCATTTAAAATGGTACCTGAAAGTGAGTGGGCAAGTGTAAAAATTGGAGCAACTTTGACAAGGGCCAAATTGTAATGGCTAGATGACCGAGGCGGAGCAACTCCAAAACTGCAGCTCTTGTGGGATGTTCCTGGTCTGCAGTGGTCAGGACCAAATGTGGTTCAAGGAAGGAAAACTGGTGACAGGGTCATGGCCAGCCAAGGCTCATAGATGCATGTGGGGAGCAATCCAATAAAAGAGTTTAGATTGCTGAAAACGTTTGTGCTGGTTCTGATAGAAAGGTGTCAGAATACACAGTTCATAGCAGTTTGTTGCGTATTGGGCTGCTTAGCCGCAGACTCGTCAGGGTGCCCATGCTGATTTTTGTCCATAGCCAATAATGCCTACAATGGGCACATGCACATCAGAACTAGACCACGGAGCAATGGAAGAAAGTGACCTGGTTTGATGAATTCAAGAATGGTTTGAGGAACACAAGGAGTTCTAGTTGTTGAGTTGGCATCAAAATTCTCCAGATCCCAATTCAATTGAGCATCTGTGCTGAAAAAAAACAAGTCTGATACATGGAAGCCGCACCTTGCATTGTACAGGACTTGAAACTCTGGTGGGCACCTGTAGCCCAAGGGCCCCTTTGGTAATGATGTAAGGCCCTCGCCCCTCAGCAATCCGTAGTTGGAACATTGATTAAGGTAATGACATTGAACTCTACTCATGTAACATGTTCCCAGTTTCATATTATCTTCTGCAGCATATCCGCAGCCAAAATATCTAGCATGTCCACGCTCTCTGACTATCATTTCATCTATTATTTCTGCAGTTTCTGACAGTCCTCTCAAACACTACATGTATTGAACATTATGTGGGGCCCTTTGGTGATGTCAGAGGTAGCATTTGAGACCCCCTTAGGTAAAAAGTTAACCACTGACTGAAGGCTTGGTGGCAGATACCACAACATATATTCAGAGGTCTAGTGGAGACCATGTCCTGACAGGTTATGATCGGTTATAATGTTATCACTGATCAGTGTATGTACATATAGGTTAACTGGGTTTGGTGTGCACATTTTTTTGGCACTAATGTGTTCTTATCGTGAAGTCTATATAAAATTAAAAGGGGGTAAACACTAAAACTGTGTTCTTGCAGTTGGAATTACTGATATCTTGCTTCTTTCTTCTGTGTAGGACACATCGAGATTTAGCGGGCTCACTGTATACTCAGGTTTTGCAGTCTTTGCAGAAAGTTCTGGGAGATCCTGTGCGCCCACTGTGTTCTCATTATGGAGCTGTTGTCGGTCTTCATGCCCTAGGCTGGAAGGTAACTTGTATAAAATAAATCACTGATATTCCGCAGGGACAGAGATGATGTGATCTGTTTTGTATGAGAGAAATAAATACTAGGAGTCTTTTTGCGTAAAATTGTGTAACTCAGTTCTCCTCCTGTATTTCATTTAGGCAGTAGAGCAAGTATTGTATCCTTTGCTTCCAACCTATTGGGCTGGGCTTCAGACTGTATTAGATGATCACTCCATGTCCAATGCACAAGTTAAGGCTGATGGCCACAAGGTGTATGGAGCTATCTTGGTAAGTTAAGTGCAACTATAAAATTACAATATGAAGCAAGGAAAGAATAAGTGGATTTGTAAGTGAGAAATGGTAAAAGGCAGCCATGGATCCATATCTGTTTAACCTTCTACTCAATATAAAATTGTGTGCATTGAAACCTTCAAACATTAGATTAACTATATTCACATATGTGTGTTGCTGTTAGGTACCTAATGATTATTTTTGATAAAAGCAGAACAAAGCTGGGCTGGTATAGTGCTTAAAGAAACTGTCACTTTAATACTACTGAAACCTGATTGTGGAATGACATGCAGGTACTCAGAAGTGTGCAGCCTACATTATTTTTCAGTATCCTGTGCTTCTGTTTAATGGTTGCTGTTGTGACAGGCAAAGCTTCAGGTAGCAAGGCAGCTCATCATCGTGTTGGGCCAATAGCTTGGGCAGGATTTGGGCTTGGTGGCAACACTATCCAGATGCAACAAAGCTTTGCCTAAACAGAATGGCCTGGTATTTGATCAAACCAGAGAATAGTGAAAGCTGGGAGCCTGCACATCATGCAGTAGGGCAAAAAAGTATTTAGTCAGCCACCAATTGTGCAAGTTCTCCCACTTAAAAAGATGAGGGAGGCCTGTAATTGGCATCATAGGTAGACCTCAACTATGAGTGACAAAATGAGAAAAAAAAATCCAGACAATCACATTGGCTGATTTGGAAAGAATTTATTTGCAAATTATGGTGGAAAATAAGTATTTGGTCACCTACAAACAAGCAAGATTTTTGGCTCTCACAGACCTGTACCTTCTTCTTTAAGAGGCTCCTCTGTCCTGCACTCATTACCTGTATCAATGGCACCTGTTTGAACTTGTTATCAGTATAAAAGACACCTGTCCACAACCTCAAACAGTCACACTCCAAACTTCACTATGGTGAAGACCAAAGAGCTGTCGAAAGAACACCAGAAACAAAATTGTAGACCTGCACCAGGCTGGGAAGACTGAATCTGCAATAGGCAAGCAGCTTGGTGTGAACAAATCAACTGTGGGAGCAATAATTAGAAAATGGAAGACACACAAGACCACTGATAATCTCCCTCGATCTGGGGCTCCACGCAAGATCTCACCCCGTGGTTTCAAAATGATCACAAGAACGGTGAGCAAAAATCCCAGGACCACACAGGGGGACCTAGTGAATGACCTGCAGAGAGCTGGGACCAACGTAACAAAGGCTACCATCAGTAAAACACTACGCCGCCAGGGACTCAGATCCTGCAGTGCCAGACGTGTCCCCCTGCTTAAGCCAGTACATGTCCAGGCCCGTCTGAAGTTTGCTAGAGAGCATTTGGATGATCCAGAAGAGGATTGGGAGAATGTCATATGGTCCGATGAAACCAAAATAGAACTGTTTGGTAGAAACACAACTCCTTGTGTTTGGAGGAGAGAGAATGCTGAGTTGCATCCAAAGAACACCATACCTACTGTGAAGCATGGGGGTGGCAACATCATGCTTTGGGGCTGTTTCCCCGCAAAGGGACCAGGACGACTGATCCATGTACAGGACAGAATGAATGGGGCCATGTATCGTGAGATTTTGAGTGCAAACCTCCTTCCATCAGCAGGGGCATTGAAGATGAAATGTGGCTGGGTCTTTCAACATGACAATGATCCCAAACATACTGCCCGGGCAGCGAAAGAGTGGCTTCGTAAGAAGCATTTCAAGGTCCTGGAGTGGCCTAGCCAGTCTCCAGATCTCAACCCCATAGAAAACCTTTGGAGGGAGTTGAAAGTCCGTATTGCCCAGCGACAGCCCCAAAACATCACTGCTCTAGAGGAGATCTGCATGGAGGAATGGGCCAACATACCAGCAACAGTGTGTGCCAACCTTGTGAAGACTTACAGGAAACGTCTGACCTCTGTCATTGCCAATAAAGGATATATAACAAAGTATTGAGATGAACTTTTGATATTGACCAAATACTTATTTTCCACCATAATTTGCAAATAAATTCTTTCCAAATCAGCCAATGTGATTGTCTGGATTTTTTTTCTCATTTTGTCTCTCATAGTTGAGGTCTACCTATGATGCCAATTACAAGCCTCTCTCATCTTTTTAAGTGGGAGAACATGCACAATTGGTGGCTGACTAAATACTTTTTTGCCCCACTGTACCTGTCAGCAGCTTTTAGTATTTGGGATAAGACCAAGTCCTTTTTAATGAATTTATTAGGGCACGTTCCCATTAGTTGTGTTGTAGTAATGTATGTTATTGCAGCGCATGGTAGTTGGGTTGCCATGTTTATTTTCATGCAGCCTTATTAGGCTGGCCATATACATAGCAAATTTCTCTCCTGCAACCAGACAGTGTTGACAGGGGAATCTCTTCTGCAGAGTCATTGTGTTCTCCCGGCAGGGCGGTCGGGGGAGCATTCCCTGCCGAGAGAACACAGTAATTATTGCTTGCGGCTATACCAGATGTTGCAAATAATTGCATGTACAATCCGGGAGGCTGGTTGTACCGAAGTTTAATTGTTCGTTCACCTTGAGTACATTCAGCCTGCCCATACAAGGTTTGAATCTCAGTCGGTCCCCACTGAGCTGGACGAGATTCTAACCATCTTTGGCCAGCTTAAATGTGTTCTATCCCCTGGATGTACATAAGTAGTGTAACTTCAGCTGTCGAATCGAGATAAGTGTGTATCTGTGGAATTGGAGGGTGGGTTAATTAGGTCAGAAGGCAAGTGGCATAAATGCACTTTGTTTTACAATGCACTTATCCTTTAATGTTTTACATTTTTTTTTTTACAATTATAATTTGCGTCTCAATATGTACATGGGGCTGCCATATTTGGTCATTACTTATGCAGGTACTATTTCTTCATTTTACAGTGTTATACAGTGGGTATGCTTTACTGTTGTATGACAAGTTCCAGCCATTTTTGGTGTTTAAGTCAGTAGCTACAAAAACTGTAGCTGCTAACTTTTAATAAACACATACCTGTCCCGGTTTAGCAATGTTCTCACCCGCGCTGTCCCTTCTCCCCTCTACGGCACCGGCATCTCAAATGTGGGCACCAGGCTCTGACAGCTCGCAGCTTCACAGCCTGGTGCCCACTGCGCATGCAAAGTCGCAGTGCGCCTCCTAATTGGTCCGGCAGTCTCCTGAGACCTATGAAGGTTCCCAGGGGACTGCGGGAGGGAGGAGGGTGCCGAACTTCCGGCTGACTTCGCCGTGGCGAAGTGAGTTGGAAGTGGAAGCGGGTACCTGTCAACCCCCCCCTCCCCAAAAGGTGCCAAATATGGGAGGCAAATAAGCATAGCTTCCGCTTTTGAGTGGAACTCCGCTTTAAAAACAATGAACTTATGATGATAGGTGCACTTATCAGAACTAAAAATAATTTGTATTTTAAAAAATGCACTTATGATAATGATTGCTTAAGTGATTATTTTATTTGATAACAAATTGATCATTTGCTGTCTGTAGCCAAGCGTCCAATCTACAGATCTATGCTTGTAATTCAACCAAAAATATATGGATGGACAAGCACATAAAAATGTGAGCCATGTAAAAAATATTTTAACACCTAAATAATATACTGTCTATTAAAAGTTTACCTGTGGTAATAGTACAAAAAAAAAAATAAAGAAACCATATACAAGCATAGCTCTGTAGTTCTGCAACTATGTGCTTGCAAAACAAAACCACTTTTAGTGAAAGCATTAACCCCTCTCCCCATCCTTTCCCCATGCTGCCATTTCAACTGTAAGGTAAAATCTAGGGGATCAGCCGTTCTACAGACCTCAGATGTGTTTCTCTAATGGCTGGATTCCTCGAGAGCCAGAAGTAGATTAGGACAGCACAACCAGTAACACTGATAGGAGGGCTGGAATTCCACATAATACTTTTTGTTTTTCAAACAATATATTTTTCAGGAAAGATTGTTTGTAACATTATCAGGTTTGCATTACTGCAATACCAATGTAATGAATTCTTCATAATCAGTGGTGTACTGCTGTTTTTCAGGTGGCTGTGGAACGTCTACTTAAAATGAAAGCTCGCTGTAGTGAATCAGATAAAGACTCCCCACCACAATCATATCCGTCCTTGCCATCTGCACCCAGTGTGTCCTTATTAGAGATGTACAATGAGTTGTATTGTTTCTTTGGAGATAGCTTGGCTGTGCGATTTGGCACTGGAGGAACAACCTTGCAGCCAGAGATTATTCCCAAAAGTACACAGGAGCCAAAAAAAGAAGGTTCTGTGGAAGGGACACGGAAAATGCCGCAGTTAACAGCTCATGGAGAGGAAGAAGTAACCAGCAGGCCAACTCAGCGCCCTCCTCCGATGTCTCTTACATCTGCAACCCGCTCTCGTGGAGGTACAAGGCAAGGACAAAGGGTGCTTGGTGTAAGGGAAGCATTCCAAAGAAGTAGACTTACTCCACGTGGCTCACCCCGGTTTACCTTTCTCATAGGAGGGAGACAAGCAGGGCGAGGAGGAGGAGGACGCAGGTTTCAGAGTGTCTTCCAACTGCACACTGGACCTGGGGCCACAGCCAGCCGCTATGCTCAAAAGCTGCCTATGATTGGACGAGTGGCAAAAACTGGACGCAGAGGGATTCAAACTGATTTGTCACTTTATTTGCCTCTGTGATACAGATTTTGAGACTACAAAATGGCAGTGACTGTTACCACCAGGCAGAGTTTGTAATGCAGTATTAAATTGAACAGAGGCTTATGGACATTGCTATGTTCATCACTGCAAATATTTAAGTTGAAAGTGCTAAATACTATGAAGATGTAAAAACTGCCTCTTTGTAAAAGTATTTTGTTTTTCAGAAATTTTGTATGTTTTAATGGGCATTTAAATATAGTGCCATAAAGAGTTTAGTTTGTTGCTTTGAAAGAGAGAATATCTGCACATTTTCTGATTTCACATCCAGGCTGTTTTCAGGAGTAGTCTAGTGTTTCCCTTTGTTTGGACCACTGCTATCAACCACCATAATGAGTGGCAGGAAATAAATAATACCGCTTGTAAAACTGATCACCGTATCAGTTGCTGTTATAGAGTGAGTTTATACTTATACTGAGCATGTAACAGGCTTACGTTTTAAAGGAGGAAGTTTGTTTTCTGTACTTTCCTTCCCCAAAGATCAGACAAACTCCCTCTGCCCACATGCAATGCAGCTGTTGGTGTGTGAGTCCCCAGATTTCAGAGCCTCCAAGGACCTACGACCTGTGCTGCATACATAGGAGTAAACAATATCAATGCCTATCTGCTTGTTGAAAATCTTGGTTAATCTAAGTATTAATAATGAAAACATGCAATAGTTTTGCACAGAGCTGCCCTAATCTTCCTCTTCTGGGATCCCGTGCTGATCCTCCTGGCCCCCCCCCCCCCCCCCTGCCAAGTGTCCCCATAGCAAGCCATTTGCTGTGGGGGCACTTGTGCGGGCTTGATCCCTAGCTGTGCTGTGTGTGTGTGTCCATAGGCACAAAGCTCAACTTGGCCCTGCTCGCTGCCTGTGATTGACAGCAACAGGAGTCAGTGGTGCTACCTCCATGTCCAGTGAGGAGAAAGCCATTGTACTCAACTTTAGTGCTGGATCAAGATAGGGCTTAGGTACACAGAATGTTTTTTACTTTGATACAGAGAATGCATTAAAATACTTCTACCTTTACAGCCATTTTAATTCAGCCATGAGAAAGTACTCTGAGAATTATGCCCCATATACACTAAACACAGTAAACATATTTGGTTCAGGAGCCCAAGTTGGTTACCAGTTGAATTCCACATGGAGTATATTGATCTAGTATGTTTGTTGATTAACACCCATCTCCAGACACCCTCCTTTTCATAAAGCTTTACTTATGTTTAGACTTTGAACTATAAATTGCTTTTGTATCTATAAATTAGTGAAGCGCTATAAATTATATATATATATATATATATACACACCATAGTGCCATTAATAACTCATAGTGCTCTGTGATAACAAGCTAATAAATTCCAAAAAATATATATAATAGGTGACAGACAAATAAATAAGTGATGTATCTTGTGTATCCAAAATAATTCATAAATCCAGCTATTAGGCTGATAACTGTGAATCACTCAAATAAATCATCCGTGTAAATATAAAGAAACAAACAAGTCCATGCAGGTGTAACTTATGAAAAAAGAGGGTGATCTTCACTTCTAGTGCACAAAATCCTCTAATGGCAGCAATGCCTGCTCACCTCCCCACACTGACCCACACAGGGCCAAAGGGCTATTAATCTCCTCAATGACCGATCCTTATTGCAGATTGCTTATCCAGGGATTGCATGATTTCCACTCCACCTCCACTCAATGGTTATATAGGACACAAAAAAGAACCTCCCATAGTGCAATATTGTTTAATAAAACGAATTTAAAACATAATGGTTACACTCACATTTCTCTCCTTGTCAAAATCAGCATTTCACCTCATCCCATAGGTGTATAACATGAAACAAGGGAAACCAATATGGCCGCTGTGTCCGGACACAGTTCCTCATATGCTACCTGGATAAGTATAGCTCCTGCTGTACATCTGGGCAATCCCCAACATCAGTGAGGTTGGTAGAAAGGAAGACTGTTCTTGTTTTGTGTCTCCACTCACTAGCTCTGCTTTGCTATTCATAAATCACAGTCTGTGATGTTAGTGGAGCCAGCTTTAATTTTGAAGCAAACAAAATTCACAGTGAAGACAATTTATTGGTAAAGGACGAACAAAAGAGTGAAAACGTATGGAAAGGATGGTGTATGAAGTTGGGTTTTAAGCCTGGTACACATGCAAGTTTTATCTTCTATTCAACCCAGTGGGCTGAATAAAAAAAACTGACAGTTCACTGTACTAACATACGATTAGTACAGCAATCTCCCTTCTGCTGCGATTTGTGTTATGACAGCGGAATGTCCCCCTTTCCACAACACACCAGTCAGCGATCGCAGCTATTGGCTGCAAGCACCGATTAGATGCTGGTCAGCTGCAGGTTTTCAAAGATGCACGTTTGATAGAAGCTGATCAAGCAGCTGTATGCACAGGTCAAAAGCTGACTGATTTCGGCCAATATTAGGCCTGCGTGTACAGGACTTAAGCCCTTGATACTTATAGAACCAGTCACCAGACCATCCAGTTCAACAGCAGTGTTGGAGTGTATGTGCATCCAATGTATTTTAGGAATATTACACACCTGTAAAAGCCTCTCAAAAGTCCCGAGACTGCTGCTGGGAGATAATGTGGTGTCAGCAGTGCCATAGAGCTGTGTCACTCAAGTGACAGGTCTATAGTATTCCCCTTCACTCTCCCCCCACCCCCGCATCCAAGGTTATATATTGGTGTGAGGGTTATAGGACCTGGGTCAGCACAGAGAGTAATTAGACATTCCCAGAAGAGGAGAAGGCTATGATGTACAATGGGGAAGGGGGTTGTTCTAGGAGGCTGACTAGTTGCATTTTCAAAGGCATGTTGAAAGTGAACAAAAATAGTTTATGGGATGGAAAAAGAATGCAAGTAAGCATTTAAAATACTTCAATTTCTGAGTGCTACCTGCAACTGAGGACTGGTTCTATTTAAAGTCAAAACTGTGGATTCCTACTGCCCAGCCACAAGTTCTTACTCCATAGCTGTAACCAGGGTGTTTATCGAATTGGAGAGTGTTCAGTCCCAAAAAACCTCATTCATCAAAAGGAAGCTTTCTTCTGGCTATAAGGAGTTTGTAATGTAAGATGGACCATATGAACCTATTTTTTTTAATTATTTATACTTTCTACCATCCACTTCCCATTCTATTTTGTACTGCAGTCTCTGTACAGGAGATGCACAGACAGGCCTTAGTTGCAGATTTGCTTTATTCTTACCACAGGTAACTAACCTTAGCTGCGGATTTACTCGCACCAGTGTTAATACTTGATTGAAAAATACAACAATTTTATTTTTTTATTTTTTTTTACATAAACAGGGCCATTGTATAAAACAGATGTCACAGCTTCCGATATGCTCCCACTGTGAGATCAAACAACTTGGCATTGGAAACATGTCCTTGCTTGTCCATTAGGTAATACAAAGGGCGATCTTTGATCTTAAGAGGTATCATGGCAGGAACCTCCGAGCGATGAGCCATACAAGAAATGTGTCTTAAAGGAAGACTAAATGATGAACTAATCCCAAAAAAACCTGCAGTGACGATGGTTACTTTATCTCCTCCAGCATGAAGAATCACAGAGTTGACAGAGCGACGTGAGAACAACAAACCAGCTACCATTACAAGGGTACCTAGGAAGATGATAGGTAGACAATTAACAATGCACAATACTAGACAAAAAAAAATACAATCTAGTCTGGTTTCAAATCAGCATTTGTAGTTTTGTTTTTTTTACTACGTGACAATTTATATATTAAATCTGCCAACAGTGTAAGGTAGGCCATATACATTAATCACTTTTTCATTCGACCAGCAGGATGAATGAAAAAAAGATGACCCGATTCCCCCATCCACAAACTGCAGACAGGGGAATCTGACAGCCAGGAGCCTTCCCTGACTTCAGAATACACTGATCAGTGCAGCCTACTAGATCAGGTGGCACTGATTGATCAGGAAAAACCTGACAGGCTGGTTGTACAGAAATAATCCTTTTTAACAGCATCAAGTCAGACTAATCTGATTGAAGTTTTTGATTAGATCACTAATGTTTTGAACCAAGGTGGTCAGCAAGTGGTTAAAAAAGTTTGTATTCGGGTTATAGAGTAATATTGCGCAGGAGCACTAACAATTATATAATATGAAATACCTTGATGATTATGGCTAATCAAAACTAATTTGTGGAAGTGGGAGGGCACAGAACTTACACAAAGGCCCTGAGATAGTTATACACGGCTCAAAAAAATTCAAAGAACACTTTTTAATCAGAGTATAGCATCAAGTCAATTCTTCTGGGATATTGATCTGGTCAGTTAAGTAGCAGAGGGGGTTGTTATTTCATTAACACCAAAGCAGCCGAAACTGATTAACAACAGGTGGACTAGAAGGGCAACAATGAGATGACCCCCTAAACAAATGGTTTTTACAGATGGAGGCCGCCATAAAATTTTTCCCTACTCATCTTTTCTGTTTTTCACTAGTTTTGCATTTGGCTAGTGTTGGATTTTAGACACATATAATACTTCTTCTAGTGTCTTGAGGCGATTATGAAAGAGCCATTGAAATAAAAAATGAAGTGTGATTTTATTCTATCACACAATGGTGTAAAATAATGTAAAGCGTATTATGAACAGTTCCATGTAGATAAAACTACTGTAAAAATAACAAGCAAAAGTTTACAGATAAGTCACCATTATTTGACATAGAAGTCCGGCCACGTGCTATTCTGTCCTTCATGTTCTCCTTGTCTTTCTCATGACTTTGTTGAAGAAGCCGGAAGTAGACGGAAATGATGATCTAGCAGCATGCACCTGTTGCAGCTTCTCAGTCGTGTATGTATGTGTGTGTTATGTATGAAAGTGTCAGTATTAGCGTGTGAGAGTCCCATGTTCCTAATGGACCTTTTTATCAGAATGAGTGTGTCATAACGAGAGATTCTTAATACCTTGTATGGCATAGAAGGGAGGGGACAACACTCACATAATGTTTCTGATGGACAGGAACATATGTATGCTGATGTAAATAATATTATAAGCTAATGATGTAACCCTCAGCTATATATTTAAATAATATAGCTTAAGAACATATCAATGTATAATCACTAAACTATATATGTATCAATGTTAGAAACGTATACCAAATACACACAGATACTATTAAAATACATAATGTAATAGTAAGTCACTTCTAATAACCTTGACATATACTACCAGATACTTTTACCCAACTATATCTAAATATAGTCTTCAGCTAGTTAGCTGTCTCAGCTAACTTACCCATATTTACTGTCTCAGCTTAACTTGTATATCTTTTGGTCTCAGCTATGATTGAAGAATAGTAATACTACCATTTGTCAAAAGACCATTCACACATATTAATATTAATTATGACTAATCATAAAAACCAAATATTTTGCAAGCTTGCCATCAATATAAGTGCCGAATCATAATTTTGATTAACAGCTAGGGTCAGCGTCACTACTGGTAGCATGCGGTGACACCTGGACCCTGCAGAGGTTGCACAGGCAGTCCAAAACCTCCAGGATGGCACATCAATACATGACATTTGCTGTGTCTCCCAGCACAGTCTCAAGAGCATGGAGGAGAATCCAGGAGACTGGAAGTTACTCTAGGAGAGCTGGACAGGGCCCTAGAAGGTCCTTAACCCATTAGCAGGACCAGTATCTACTCCTTTGTGCAAGGAGGAACAGGATGAGCACTGCCAGAGCCCTACAAAATGACCTCCAGCAGGTGAAAATCTCTGACCAATCAGGAACAGGCTTCATGAGGGTGGCCTAAGGGCCCGACATCCTCTAGTGGGCCCTGTGCTCACTGCCCAGCACCACAGACCTCGACTGGCATTTGGCACTGGCACCCTGTGCTTTTCACAGATGAGAGCAGGTTCACCCTGAGCACGTGAAAGGGTCTGGAGAAGCCGTGGAGAACGTTATGCTGCCTGTAACATTGTTCAGCTTGACCATTTTGGTGGTGGGTCAGTGATGGTCTGGGGAGGCATATCCATGGAGGAACGAACAGACCTCTACAGGCTAGACCAGGGGTGGGCAAACTTTTTGACTTGAGGGCCGCAATGGGTTCATATATTGGACCCGGGGGCTGGACCAAGAGTAGATGAATGATGTGTATGTGTCATCCATAGTAAGTATAGTAATATTCCCCTATAGTAATTAATCCCCCATATAGTAATTCATCCCTCATAGTAATTCATCCCCCATATAGTATTTCATCCCCCATAGTACTATTCCCCCCCAAGTAGTAAGCCAAGTCCCCCCTGTGTCAATTCACTTACCTTTGCTCTGTGCGTTCCTCTCGCCGTGTTCCCGCGTCATTCCGGTCTTCAGGGCGGACTGTGAGAGGAGCCTAGCTCCCCTCACGTTCGTCACGCTGCCCCGCCTACACACATCCTGACAGCCATCCTGACAGTATCACGATCCACGGGCCGGATTAATAGGTCCGCCGGGCCGTAGTTTGCCCATTGCTGGGCTAGACAATGGCACCCTGACTGCTATTAGGTATCGGGAGAAAATCCTTGGACCCATTGTCAGACCCTACACTGGTGCAATGAGTCCTAGGTTCCTCCTGGTGCAAGACAATGACCGGCCTCGTGGCGACAGTATGCAGGCAGTTCCTGGAAGATGAAGGAATTGATACCATTGAATGGCCCCAACGCTCGCTTGACCTAAATCCAATAGAACACACCCTGGATATCTTGTTTTGGTCCATCCAACACCACCAGGTTGTACCTCAGACTGTCCAGCAGCTCAGTGATGCCCTGGTCCACATCCATGGAGGAAACGCCCCAGAACACCATCCATCATCTCATTAGGAGCATGCCCCAACGTTGTCAGGCATGTGGGGGCCATACAAACTACTGAGAACCATTCTGAGTTGCTGCAATGAAATAGCAAAACGGACTAGCCTGCTGCATCATTTTTTCACTAATTTTTGGGGTGTCTTTGAATTCAGTCCTCTGTAGGTGGATAATTTTGATTTCCATCAAATGATGGGGCATCCTTACATTCCTAACACATTACCCAGTCCATATCAGTATAGCTATCCAGCATGAGATTTTTTTCCCCCATTGAGATATGGTGTGTTTTCAAAGTGTTCCTTTCATTTTTTTGGAGCAGTGTATAAGCGCAACATCTTCCAAACAGTGGACTTATCCTTTAGGGTCAGTTACCATAAAAATGCACTCCGGATGCATTTAACTCTATAGTTCACACCACACTCTGTTCCGGTGCAGTTTGCCATGTTCCAGTACAGTTCTGTGCAATAAAAATGAAGAATGTTCAATTTTTTTTTCTGCACCGGAAACTGACTGGAACTGTGCACTGGTGTGAACTATGGCCATTGGAATACCTGGAAAACAAGAGCATGCATTGTGATGCAGAAAAAAAAAAAAACCTCACACTGGACTACATCTAATGTGAACTAGCCCTACAGGTAAATGAACCCTGGAGTTAGGCTTTAACACTTAATTGTCCGTTGTGCTGCAAATCCATTCTTTGCGCCTTCACAGTGCTATGGATGTGATGTCACAGGTTAGTGTGTGTTGAATAGCCTGCCTTCCACTGAGCGCGGTATTCACACCTGCCTATCGCAAAGTGACACGGCAGGGAGGAAAGAACCACAGAGTCCAGGTGTGTGACAAACCTGGAAAGAAGCAAAGAACGGACTCCATGCTGGATAAAAGTAAGCTTGCACGTGAATTGCACAAGGACCACACCGCATTCCTATGCAATTCAGTGCAGTGCGATTGACCCTCTCATTTTGAATGGGCTCAAGTCACACTGCCCAGCACCAAAAACGTGCATATTTTTAGCTGCACTGCAACCAGATCGAATAGACATTTTGAACCACGCAATCCAGTACAGGCAAACACACTGCATTTGGGGTGTCATTAAAGCAGAGTTCCACTCAGTCTGTAAAAAAATAAAAGTCAGCAGCTACAAAAACTGTAGCTGCTGACTTTTCAAAAACAGCCACTCACCTGTCCCACGATCCCCGATTGCCCCCACTGCAGCCCGTTTCACCGGCCATCCTGTATTCCAGGAGGCCAGCATCTTCAGTGTGGGTACCTGGCTGTGACAGCTTGCGGTTTCACAGCCGAGTGCCCACTGCACATGCGCGAGTAGCGCTGCACTTCCTGAATGGCCACGTCGACTTCTGGGACCTGTCATGTGTCCCACAAGACTATGAGGAGGGAGGACAACTTGTTTCCGATCACCTAGGCAATCGCAGTAAAAGTGGGAGTGGGTACCTGTCAAATTTGGGTACCTGTTCCCCCCCGCTCCCCAAAGGTGCCAATCCTTAATGGGGAGCAGTCTTTAACCACTTGCCGTCCGCCTGCTGTTTATAAACGGCAGGACGGTGGCACTCCAGGGGCGGGTTGCCATTTATAAACGGCACCCGCCATTTCTAGCTGTGCGCGCTCCCTGGGAGCACGCAGCACCGCGATTCGGTGCCCGCTGTGTCCTCCGGACACAGTGAAACACCGATCGTTGGACGGGACCTCTGTACGAGGTCCCGATCATGTGATCACTGATAGGCCAATCAGTGATCACATGCAAAGTAGCAAGCAAGATGTCACTTGTGACATCATTGCTTACTACGTGTGAAATCTGTGAATGATCACAGAGGTCACATGGTACAAGGCTATTCACAACAGCCTTGTACCATGTGACAAGCTGTGACCAATCACAGCTCACTCAGTATTTCTCAATGGCTGCAAGAATGCAGACAGAGAGAAAGAGAAATGATTGCTTTTACATCCTATATGGGTGTAAAAGCAATCACTGTGTAAAAAAAAAAAAATCTTCATCACCCCCCACAAGTAGTACAGTGTCATCACTGCTAGGGTGACATTATGTAAAAAAAAAAAATATATATATATAAAAAAAAATAAAAATGTAAACAAAATGTTTAAAAAATTATCATTTTTGGTTATAAACTGATTTGGCTTATTTTTTATTTTTTTTTACTAAAAAGATAACGGAATACATTTTGGCCAAGATTTATAATGAAATATTATTTGCAACATTTTATAAGAAAAACACTTTTTTTCAACATTTTTGGACTTTTTCATTTACAAAAAAATAAAAATCCCAGTGGTGAATAAATACCACCAAAATAAAGCTTTATCTGTCTCAAAAAAATGGTAAAAAATTCATATGGGTACAGTGTTGCATGACCGCGCAATTGTCAAAGTGTGATAGTGCTGAAAGATGAAAATTGCCATGGACAGGAAGGGGGTAAAAGTGTCCGGACTTGAAGTGGTCAAAGCAGAACTTCCCCTTTTGGGTGGAACTCCGCTTTAACCAGACTAACTATAAATATATTTTTTATTATTATATTAAATATTAATATCTTTAAAGGACACCACTGTTTGATTTCTTTTTTTTCCCATCTGAGCGTCAGGATTATTTTTAAAGTCATTCAAGCAAGGTCATTCACACTTGTGCGACTCTGGGGTCCAAAGTCACATGACAAGTTGCAGCCCATGTTTCCCAATGAGTACCATTCATATCTGTGCGACTTCCAAGTCGCAGCAACATGAAAGTAATTCCGGCACTACTTTGGTCCAACTTTCATGCAACTTGACAGCCATAGACTTCAGTCTAAAAAAAACAATCATTCTTGGTCAAAGCCAAAGGCGCTCTCATCCAAAGTCACAAATGACAAATCGCACAATTTTGAAGCTGCACAAAGGTGAATGGAGCCTAATGGTGGCTGTAACCGCTGTGTTGTGTACATGGAGGTTGCATGGTGGTCAATGAGCCTCAATGACAGCTGCAGCCACAATGACATACCCACTGACAGGCAGCCCAGAGTGAACGCCGTCCTCCACAAGGGGGAGCCCATGTTCCTGCCATTCACCTCCCCGTCCTGCCCCCTGGTGCTGTGTCTGATGTCCCGCAGAGTCGTGAAGCCGAAGTGCGCCAAGTACGCCCAGAAGCCGGTCTGAGCCACACAAAACGCCCCCAACAGGCGGAAGAAGCGCGGCCTCCGGTGCTCGAACAGCACCACATCTCGGCCCACCGGCTCTATCTTGTAGTTCCGCGCTAGAAGCGCTATCTCCGGCTTCCACCGAACACACGACCGGAGCGTTCCAGCTAATCGAAACATACTGCCCCTAATGACCTGCACGGGGCCTGCGTCGCGCCTTAGTGACGTCAGGACGTATTGCAGGGAGCGTGTGTCGGTCTACTTCCGGGACCAGAAAGATGGCGGCTTGAAGTTGTGTTGTGTGCTGCTAGAAGTAGGCCATTAAATCATAGCAGACATTATTGTGGGTCAGGTATTATTATCAAAGTTAAACATGGAAAAAACTGCATGCAGAGAGCAAGTATACAGCATACAGCCAGTGAAGTAATAATAATGACTGAATGCCCATGGAGGTGTAAAACACAAGTATTCTTGGTCCAGGGGGTGCTACTGGTTCTGGTCCAGCTTGTCACTGTGTGCAAAATTGCACAAGGAACAAACTGTCTTCTGCAAATAATCTTTCCTGCATCTAAGTGGACCTTTACTCACCTTACAAACTTGATTTTGTGTGTCGGAATTCCTTGCCGGGGTGAGAGGAACGGCTCGAGGCCTCCTGGTGCATTCCAGGGGCTGTAGTAGAACCCGCCACGCTAGGGCTCTCAGGAAGCCGGTGTCTTGATGGTGTCACAAGAAAGATGGTGGTGAAGGACCTCACATGGTCGATTGCTGGGTGGGAGAGTTTGCCATTTCAGCTCAGCCCAGCATATCAGGTAAAGATGCAGACAAGATGCTACATGACTGTTAAGCTGGCCATACACGGGTCATATTCCGAAATAATTTTCTTCAGAAAATCTTTTCTAAGAATTTTTGTTCGAATTTCACACCATTAGTGGGGCACTGCAACGGCCAATTTTCGTGTGACCATCAAATCTGAGTGATTGGGAATGTTGGAGATTTTTTGAAAAACAAATTTCTAATCAATGATGGGAGAATCGTGTGGCAAATATAAGCAAAAAAGAAATGAGCGTGAGCTGTGACCTGGAAAGCAAACAAAATTCTTGGCCACGAAAATTCTTTTCTGCAGCAGCATGGGGTGAAATTGAAGGCTTGGTTGGTTGAATTTTGAAATCAATGGGGGCACCATCGGATTACAAAACGGACTAAATTTCCGATTTTCTAAAGAAAGTTCGTTCAGAATTTGACCCATGTATGGCCTGCATTAGGCTACATTCCCACCCATGTATTGGCCCAACAGCATGGACATGCAAGAACCTCAGTAGGGAGTCCCAGAAATGAACTGTAAGTGGCCCTGAAAGCAGACTGCATCCAGGGCTGATCAATCACAAGTGATCGCCACATAGCAATTACGTGCGATTGGCCGCAATTAGCTGCTGGGGCCAGCAGCCTCGTATTGCTTTCACGCATGACCTTTTAGGCATTAAATGTGCCTATCATAAAAAAAACAAAAAAAGTATTTTCCAGAACCCAGAGAGCCACAGGTTGGGAATACAGCTAGCTATAGAAGTGAATGGCTGTACTCATGTAAATGTCAATGCTTAACTGCATTTGTGTTTACCAATACATGTGTGTACAATGTAATGTTCTGAATGTGACACATTCAGGAGAATACGCTAGGCATATTTATTGCGTAAGGATGTCCGTGAGCATTCAGCTAAGATCACAAGTGAAAATAAAAATGTATAATTCATAGTACAACAAACAATTACTGCTTCACATAGACATGAATTGGAAATAAAAACAGATGTGAACAAATGATGAAACAGTCACATGATCTTTGACTTACTTAGTTTGGTCGGCCTGGATTGATGCTCAGGGACAGGATCAGACGACACTTGATGACTTTCTTCTTCCATCCTTTTCCCTTTCATTTCTGCCCCCCCCCAAATTTCCGTCTTTATACGTGTATAAAAAAATCTGTTCACCTGTTGTGGAGCCTTCCCGGTTGGCAGAACACAATGCTCACTGCTGGTGGCTGTATCTGCTGACAGTAATTGCATGTAGAAAAATATCTGACAAGCTGGCTATACTGAACTCAGTCGAAAGAAATCTCCTTTCTTGTAAGCACTGCCCCCTCCTGTGCACATTACCCAACCCCCCAATCCTGTATGCACTGCCATCTCCTGCGCACATTACCGCCTCCTCCCAGTACACCCTCCATATACACAGTTCCCCCTCCTTTTATCTTCTCCTATACATATTACCCCTCCCCTGTACATATTACCGCCCCTCCTGTACAGATTACCCCTTCTCTGTACATTTTACCTTCCTCCTGTACATATTAACCTCTCCTGTACATATTACCCCCTCCTGTACATGTTAACACCCTCTCTATACATATTACTACCCTCCCTGTACATATTACTCCCTCCTGTACATGTTACCCCCCCCCTCCCCCTGTGCATATTACCACCTTTCATTTTGCATAAAGGTAAAAAACCTCTGTGCAGAAGCCCCCCCTAATATTTACATGAGCCCCATTCTGATCCAGTGATGTGCACAAGAGCCTCGGCTCCCCAGGGACTCTCCCACTTCTTTGGCTGAGACTGCTGTCAATCATGGCCAGTGCGCCAATGAGGAGGGGGTGGGGCCAAGCCATGCTCTGTGTATGAATGGACACGCAGAGCAGCGGCTTGGGAGCGAGCCTGTTTGGGTGACCCCAGAGCAAGCAGCAACTCAGCAGGAGGGAGGGGCTAGGAGCACCAGTAAGTGACCCGAGAAGAGGAGGATCGGGGTTGTTCTGTGCAAAATCTCTACACAGAGCAGGTAAGTATTGCATGTTTGTTATTTTTTTTTGTAATTGCCTTTAATATCACTTTGAAGTCCCAAGTTTTTTCTTTTTTACTATGTTGTAATGGGAATGATAACTTTCAATGGTTTGATATTATTACAAACACCCCTCCCTTCCATACAGAAAAAGAAAAAAAAAAAGCTTTGGCTTGATACACGACTAGGATCAGACCCAGAAATTTCAAGTGATGAGTTGGTTCCAGCACTGATTCCTGAATGGTCAGGACTCAACCGAACCTCTGCACGGTTTAGATGATTAGAGGAGCTTTGTCTGTGCACTCCACACTCACCAGATATGGTGGACTCCTAGCTTTTTGGGCTTAAGAGTCAAAATACCTATTTCTGGTGGGATGTGCTCACAGTTATTTCCAGAATTCGGTGGTGTACCGGACCCATGGCTGTAATGTAAAAGGTTTGAACAAAGGGAAGCAAAAGGAACACTGATAGTGTAATATTATCATGCCATTTATTAACTATGAATAACAATATATATTACGCTCACATTTCATATATAACAAATAGCCTTGTAAGCCGTAAAAAACCTCAACAACGGTAATGCAGCAGTATAAAGATGGCTCCGGAGCGCCACTGGTTCGCATGTGCTCCACTCACCGGATGTGACGTCACACCAAATAGCTGGAAACCGGAAATTGCATCAACGTGTTTTGCCCATCCAACAGGGCATCCTCATAAACAATAATCTCCAGTTCCCGTCTTCTTTATATCTCGTTCTTAAGAACCCCCCATTCTAGTGACCCACTTCCTACTATATACTTCCTAAAGGATATACTGGCTTCAAAACCAATGGTTTAATATTGTATTTCCTACACCAAGCCATTCCGATTGCTGAGTACATCATATTACATATAAAAAATTAAAAATAGTTTTTAATAAATTATTAAAATAATGCGTATTGGAATAAAATAATGATAAAAAAGAATAAAGAAAAAATTTAAATAAATTAAATAAAAAATAATAGATTCTATGAGTAATGCAAATGTCCCAGAGAATATGCATTCTGACTAAAGGGAAAATGGGGTCACCCAGAACAAATATTCTAAGATAACTTTTACCAGTTGGACAGGAAACAATTCAAATCTATTTCTACATTTAACCCTTTCGGAGTCAAAGTGTCTAATTTTTTAATCCATCTAGTTTCGTTCTGTGATATTGATTTTTTTAAATCACCACCTCTCCAAAAGGGTTCCACCTTATCAATCCCACAGAATTTCAGAAGCGTATGGTCCTTATTATGAAACTTTCTGATAGGATAAACTATGACGCCTGAATCCTTTTTTGATGTTTCTAATATGTTCACTCAAATGCACTGCAAGTTTCCTTGTTCTCCCCACATATTGCAATTTACAAAGGACATTCTGAAAGGTAAGTCAGATGGGTGCTCGCACATGTGATACATTTCTTACTCTTAAAAACGTTTCCTTTTGTGTGTGATTGGAAATTATCAGTTCTCCTTATTCTACTTATTACTGTTCTACATGCTAAACACCTTCCACAGCTGTAAAAACTTAACTACTAAAAAAGTACCTACTTTATGGGGGGGGGGGGCAGGGGGGTCTATCACATTTTTTGCTAATTTGTTTCTCAATGTGGGTGGTTTTGTATAAATGAACTGTGGTGTCTTTGGCAATATTCCTTTGAGGAGCTCATCCTGCAAAAGAATTGATCAATATTTCTTAAACATTGCTTCTACCAACTTATGTTGTGGAGTATACCCCATAATGAATGCTATTCCATTGTCTTTCACTTTCTTTTTCTTATTTTTTAGCAATTCTTCTCTTTCCATTCTCTTCACCATATTCTTAATTCTGATTAGATACTTATTTTTATAACCTTTTTCTTCTAAGCTTTGTATTAAAATATCTGCTTGTTCCTCATAATCGTTTATCTAATCACAATTATGTTTGATTCTCCTTAGCTGGCTTTTTGGGATCGTGTTTAGCCATCTAGGGTGATGGCAACTGTGTTTGGGAATGTATCCATTCCTATCCACATCCTTAAGTGGGTACACGTGTACAGCTTATTCCCTTTTTTATATACAGTGAGATCCAAAAAACTAATGGACTTCCCATCTACATTTTCGGAAAAAAGATACTTATTATTACTAATCTCTTTAATTAACTCTAGGAAGAATTCCTGTGTTCCTTCCCATACAATAAAGATATCATCGATATATCTCTTGTATAATTTTGATTCCAGTCTCTCTTTTCCATAGATTGACTCATGGTCCCATTTACTCATAAAATGCTTCGCTACTGGGGGTGCATATTTGGCACCTAATGCAACTCTTTTCCTTTATCTATAGTATTTGCCTCTGTGTCAGAAGAAATTATTACTCATAACTAGATCCAGGGCC